GGTCCTTTGCTTTGCCCAGAGCATCCAGTTATCGTCGTTCTCGTCTCAAACTCCTTCCATTCGGACCTCTATTTTGTTTAATTCCACTAAATTTTTTCCTTTTTTCCCCCTTCCCCTTAATGTAACTCTTGTTCACCCCGAAGTCAAGGTGGCTAATTCTGATGCCCCTAATGAAATCCAGAGGCAGGGAAGCAGACTTGCAGAGTTCAAGTGAATTGAGAAGAGTTCTGACGCTGACATTCTGGTGGACCTAGTAGATGTTCCGGATGGACCAGTGATTCTCATACTTCGTGCATCAGAATCACCGGGAGAGCTTCTCAAACCACATTGCTGGGCCCACCCCAGAGTCTCTGACTCAGTTAGCGTGGAAGCTGGGGCCTGACGATTTTCATGTCTAATGAGTTACCAGGATATGGAGGCTGCTGGTTCAGGGAACCACACATTGAGAATCGTTGTTCTAGACCAGCCGTGGGCAAACTACGGCCCTCGGGCCGGATCCGGCCCGTTTGAATGAATAAAACTAAAAAGAAAAAAGACCGTACCCTTTTATGTAATGATGTTTACTTTGAATTTATATTAGTTCACACAAACACTCCATCCATGCTTTTGTTCCGGCCCTCCGGTCCAGTTTAAGAACCCATTGTGGCCCTCGAGTCAAAAAGTTTGCCCACCCCTGCCTTAGGGACACTGTCTTAAGACATTTCTGGTTGTCACCAGGGGCGTGTGTACTGCCATCTAGTGGGTAGAGGGCCCGGGATGCTGCTACACACCCTGTAGTACACAGGACAGCCCTCTCAACGAAGAATTATCCCGCCCAAAATGTCAAGAGTGCCGCTGCTGAAATGGAGACACCTGGGCTTACATCTAGGCATCCCTTTGCCTTTCTAAGCCCATTTCCCTACCTACAAAAAGGGACCCAGATTTTGGGGGCACAGAGGATCGATCCTTCTTCTGTAGCCGTTACTTTACTGAATTCAACTTGGAAGCTTCCTGATCCCAGAGAGGGCAAGGAACCCACTGACTCAGCAGCGTTCTCACACCCGAGCGGGCTAACGGTGGTCCCAGGACCACAGAAGGGCCCTTGAAGCAGGGGCCAAACCCTTCCCCTGACCCCCACCAGCAGAGACAAGCCTTCTCCCAGGAATGCCCGAAGAACTGCGGCCATGTATCCCAAAGTGTGGGACCCACTCTGCCAAGGACAGAAAAGGTGACAAGGTGACAAGGTGATGTGGGGCAGAGCTTTAAGTAACGTCACATCTCAGAGAGTTCCTCTGTCAGAGACAGTGTCTCAGCTGGATACTGGGCTGTAACACTTCCCTCACTTTCTCATCTCCTCTTGCAAGAGGAAGCCGTGGGCTGCAGGGAACAGAATCTGTATAGGACTCAGCACTGCACTTAACCTATTTATAGTTGCCTGCTACTGAAGGCAAGGATGACGCCTGGTGATACTGGGTTCATTCCTGGGTTCCTTTTAAAATGTTATTTTAGTTTTTAAAAAGCAAGTCAGTTTAAAGAAAAACACTAATTAGCACAGGTGATATAAAATCTGGTGAATATCATGAAGGAGGTACGGAAGGTCGACTAACACTTGGGAAACACTGTCAGGCTCTCTGACACCTACCTTCTCCCAGCCACCTTCACCCCCTTCTCCCTGTCTCACCCACCGTGTCCCTCCTTCTCAGCGACACTCCCACTCTACCTCCTGAGCACAACGCAGACGGCTCCTGCGCTCCACCGCGTAGCGCCCCACCCAGGGTTTGGCATCTCATTTCAGGTCCTTATTCTTATCGCCTCAAAGACGGACTGAACGAACTCCTCAGGGGCAGGCTCTCTGTCGCTGTGAGGACCTCTTTCAGAGCTCCAAACACAGAAGAAACTGGGCAAATGCCAATTAACCAACTGAAGGCTCCATTCACATTCATTCATTCACACACACACACACACACACACACACACACACACACACAAGTAACCTGAAGATTTTCATTTGTACAACGTGGGCTCACTTCCACCCAACTACACCTGCCTCCGAAAAGCCAACACCAAAGGCACATTTTGCAGGGGAGTTGGGAGAATCATGGTAACTGTTTGGAGCCTTGAGAAAAATACTTCAGGGATCTGGCTGAATCCAACCTCACAGGAACTACAGAGAATAAAGTAGATGCCAACGAAGCGACAGACTTCCTGAGCTTCATCAGCTGAAGGAAGAAATGGCAACCTGAGTCCTCGGAGAAAAAGACAAATGGAAGCCACTACAAAAGAGAAGACTAGACGCCCACCAAAAAGCTCAGCAAAGAGAAACAGCCAAAGGAACAGGGGTATTTAGTCTGAGAAGAACCAGCTGAACCAGCTATGATTACGTGAAGGCTGTGCTTGTAATCAAAGCATTAGATCTACTCTCTAAGGCCGAGGAGTATAAGAAACCCCTTCCTCCTCTCCCCACCCCAAATAGAGTAGGAAATAGGAGGCAAATTCCAATTTAATATAAGAAGTAACAGAGTTGTCCAGTGGTGGAGTTGACCGCCGCGTAAGCTCTCTGTCGCAGGAATACTGAAGTAAAGACATTCATTCTGTTCTAGAACTAGCCATCCAGCCTCAAATAGGGAGCTAGGCTAGATCATTACTCTTTTTCAGCCTGAGAACTATGAATCCACAAGTTCAACGGCTACAGCCTCTTTACTGCACACCCTGTTAACAACATGCCATTTCCTCCTTCCGCCCAGGCCAGCCCTGATAGGGGGTCCTCCATCTTTTCTATCAGTCGCTTTACAGGGAAAATTCACTTCTCAGATTAGCAGGGGCCCAGGCTCCATGGTCTGTGGCAACACCTGACCCTACAGTCCTCAGCTGTGTCTTTTCAGAAGCTGTGCCCTGATTGGCCCAGGACAGAAGTTAGCACGTTCCTCTTCCCCCGCAGCAGCGGTGGCCAGGGCTAGTGACCATCCCATGACCCAGCACATGCCCGAGATGCAGAACAAAGTGACAGATCAGTCCTGAACCTACCACCCCGGTCGTGGGGGTGACGCGCGGCCCTTACCTTCTACCGAGGGGGAGAAGATGATGAGATTGTCATAGAGGAACTCCCCGTACTTAATAAGGGACAGGCTGGGGTCATCTGCGGTCTTGAATGTGAGTTCAAAGCCCCGATCTGCACAAGGAGAAAATAGGCAACTGAGGCTGAGGGAAACCGCCGCTGCAGAGACCGCGACAGCCCTGCCTCGCCCCCAAGCGGCAGGCCAGACCTGGGCGGCCCGCTCGTGGAGAACGAGTGCGAGGGAGGGTGGCCGTTGCCCTCGGGCTGGGGGGCCTTTCCAAACTCAGGCTTTCACCCGCCGCCCCCTCGAACCCCCGTCTCACCCTTCAGACTCCGGAAGAAAAGCGAATGCGTCTCCCGCAGGTTGAGGTTGTCCAGCAGCACTAGGGTGCGGGGACCGCTGGCACCGACCAGGCCAAGCGAGGGGAGCAGCAGCCACAAGAGGGACCAAACACGGGCGGCGGCGCCAAGTTCCATCTTTCTACTCCTGCCAAAGAACCGGAGCACCTGGACACCGGAAGTACCCCATCTAAGGCCAGCCAATCACGGCTCGGGGTCCTGGAGTTCCACCCGGAAGTGATCTGGGTATGCCGCGGCCGGGCTCCAAGAGCCGCCGTTCAGATGATAGGAACCGAGCCAGGAGCACCACCGGAAGTGCCTCGGTTGTAGGCGGAACCTCTCAATCCTATTGGCGGAAGGGGAGCGCGGCTCCGCCTCCCCAAAGCAAGCGGCTCAATCCTAGAGAGACAGCTCTGCAGCCCCGGCCAATCAACAGGACGCTTAGTCTGAGTGGTCCCGGCTTGCGTGGTCTTGACAGGGGCCTCCCTGGACCACCTTTTCGTTTCTCTCTGGTCCAGTCCAGTCTCGGGACTGGGAACCGGGCCCCTCCTCCACCATCTCCAGAGAGGAAACGATTGGAAAAATAAGATCAGGGACAGGGACACTTTAGACTCCCGCGGCTCGCGGGCCCAGGGTCCTTGGCCTGGCCCGGCCTGCCCTGCCTGGTGGCCCACGTGCAGGTAGGAAAGGGCGGTGGACTAGCCTAGCGACAAAAAAGCTCTAATGAGGCTCATTCCCAGGCTCGGTCCCTCACTAGCCCCTTTACCTCGGGATTTCACTCCTGTCCAGGCCACTGTGCTAGGCTGGAAATAAAATGGCCAGAGGCCGCTCGCCTACCCGTCTGTGTGCCCTTGGAACAGCCCTGGGCTCTTGGGAGGACTGGAGCCGGTTAAGGCGCCAGTGCAGGGCTAGGCTGAGCAACCGCGCAGTAATGGTGGCTCCCACCCCTTCTACACTGGTCAGGGCCAGGGCTCACCTCCGACCTGCCTCGGGCCGTCACAGGTCTAAGGGAAAGCTACCACAAGCAGCCCCACGACTTCAGTCCACCTCTAACTCAAACCGTTGCTTAGGAGTCTGCCCCAGCCCACGGACACCCAGAGGCCCTCCACTCTCAGGTCTGCAGCCTCGTGCTCCTTAGTCCCACCCAGGGCTTACCTGGAACAGGTCTCCTCCGACCTTTAACCTACCCTCAGCTTCCCCACCTCCTGCCTTTCGCTCATGCAGCTCCCTCTCCCTCCCCACATCCCCACCTTAAGCCTCCCCAGATATTCTCCATCCTTTATGGGAGCCCCCCACCCCCTCCCCCGCCACCTGCTGCTGCTCCCTTCACCAAGGGGACTTTGTTCCCATGAAGACCTGGCTCCCTCTTATTCGAAGTGTATCTGCAGGTTGCCTCCGAAGGTACCTAAGTACCCTCCACCCCACCCCAGCTTCTCCAGGAGGTGAGCTCCTTGGCCCAGGCATGTGGTTTGTGGCACGAGCCACAGCAACTAATATAAAATACAGACGAGCCCTAGCTGGTTTGGCTCAGTGGATAGAGTGTTGCCCTGCAGGCTGAAGGGTCCCAGGTTCGATTCCCGCCAAGGGCACATGCCTGGGTTACGGGCTCGATCCCCAGTAGGGGACATGCTGGATGGAGGCAGCCGATCAATGATTCTCATTATTGATGTTTCTCTCTCTCTCCCCCTCTCCCTTCCTCTCTGAAATCAATAAATAAATATAATAAATAAATAACAGAGGAGGAAGGATGGACTGACCCGGAGCACCTGCTGTGCACCGGAACTTTAGATACCACCTCGTTTTACCTTCACATGAACTCTAGGAGGTGGGTGTTTATCCCCGTCTCACAGATGAGGCTCAGGACAGCACCAAAGGCCAAAACTTCTCCCTGGGAGTATGAGCCCCTGCCATGAGGCAGGCCTGGGCTACCAGGAACTAGGGGAGGGGTGTGGCCTAGGTTGCTGGGGTGGCCATGTCAGGACACCCGGTTCCAGCCCAGCCCCCGAGGGCAGACCCAACCTGGGCCTCCTTTGGGCCGCAGCCTGTTTCCTAAACAAGGGCTCTGCTTTCCTGGGTCGCAGATGCTTTGAGAGCCTAATGGCAGGTCAGACGCTTTCCCCATAAACAAGCACTGGTGCTCACAACCACAGGGTGTCGCGGAACCTTGGAGCCTGTTTGTCCGAATGGCCTCGGCTGTTTGAGACCCGGGCTCCAGGAAGAGCTTCCAGGCAGGGAGGGGCCCGGTGCCGCTGCCAGAGAACCAGGGAGGGGGGCTTGTGGGTAAAAGACAGTTTATTAGGGCAGCTTAATGCGGAGCGGGCTCCTTGGGCCACAGATTGGCTGGGAGCGGGCAGCAGGGCAGCTGCTCAGGCCTCGAGCACCGTCTTGCGGGGCTTCCCCCAGGAAGTGGGGCCAACCGGACAGAGGAGCAGTTTTCCATCACCGACATGTTAAGCGCGATCCACGGGGAAGTTGCTGACCACGCTGTCGGGGCTGCTGGTGAAGGCCTTGAGGCAGAGCCCATCGAGGCTCCGAACAACACTGGTGGGCACAGGTGGCGGCTCCGTGGCAGGTGAGCAGGTGGGAATACTGACGTGGCACTGGGAGCTGGAGGGGCCTTGCCAAGGATGGTCTAGCTCCGAGGGGCTCCCGCCCGGGCAGCAGTGAGCTCTCTGGGGAACAGGGAAGGGAATTTGTCCTCCAGGGCGAGGGCCCCCTCCAGCGCCCCTGTCACCGCGGGGGCAGGAGAGGAGGCCCAGCGGGGGCTGCCCGGAGGGCCTGGCCGTCGCCGAAGCCCCCAGCAGGCAGCTGTGTTCACAGAGGCTCGCTGCCAAAGCTGCTTCTGCTCTTCTTACGCTTGGCCTTGGTGAAGGGGATGTCGAGGGACTCGAGGCGGAAGGGCCGGGGCTGGGGCATCTCAGGGGCCTGGGAGGGTGGCATGGCAGAGCTGTTGCCGAGGGGGGAGCTGAGGCCTGGCGGCGAGCTGCGATAGGCTGTGGAGGAGAGGCCCGGAGGCCGCTGGTGAGCCAGGAGTGCAGGTGTGGGAAGAAAGCCCTGGGTGTGGGTGCAGCCCCTGTCCTGCCTCCACCCAGCCCCAGCCCTGGTCCCCCTGCTAGGACCCCGCGTTCTAAGACGCTGCTTGGGTTGGGGCCTCAGACCCAGAGCTGTGTCTGCGTCCAAAGGGTCTGGGCTGGGACACAGCCTGGGATCTCAAGCCAGACAAGCCTGGGTTCAAAGCCCAGCTCCACCCCTTCCTAGAAGGATGGCCTCACTTGGAAGAAAACCCCTCAGTGGTCCTCGGTTAAGAATAGTTTTGTGTGTGTGTGTGTGTGTGTGTGTGTGTGTGTGTTTCTTTCAGGAACAACCTATCAGAAGCAGCCAGTCAGAGATGTAGGCCGGCCTGAGCCATTCCTTGCAGGCCCCCTGAGCTCAGTCAGGGGTGCCCGGCTGAGCCTCTCTGGGCCTCCGTTTCCTCATCTGCTGCATGGGCACCGCGCCAGGTTCCCAACGGATGTTAGTTTATTTCCTGTCCAACTTTTCTTTCCTTATCCTCAACTCCACCCACTTTATCTCTTAAATAACCTCAATACAGGACTGAGATGTGCTTCTCATGGATATTTTACTGGAAGTCCTGAGGTCTTTAAAAGCAGAAGAATGAAGTGATTTTCAGTTCTTGCTTTTGAACGTGTTTTGCTTTTGTGACCCTGTCTGCCCCCTTGGCTCAGGGGAAAGCCAATATCCTGGCAGCTGAGGGAGCTGGTAACTGACCAGCGTCATGTAGCCCCACGCCAGGCCCTGACCAGTGTTGGGGGCCCAGTGCATGTCGGGGGAGGCAGATGAATCAAATCGCACGTCGCCCCCAGGAGGAAAGGGGAGACTGTATTGAGCACCTACTATGTGCAGGCCCTGGGCTGGGCCATTTCCCCATTTCATTTTACCTAATCCTGTGTCTCCCCCTCACTTAATAGCTGAGGACCAGGCCTGTCTGACTCCGTCCGCCCCGTCAGCCCCTCCCTGTTGGCAGAGGGTCGAGGGAAGAGGCTGGAGGACAAGAGGTGGGCAGGGCACTCACTGAGGCTCTTCATGGGATCTGTGCTGAGGATCTGGTTGGCCCGCTTTGGCCGGAAGTAGTTACTGGCAATATTTTCACTGTCGCTCCGACTGAGCATCAGCCTGTAGCGGTCTTCTTCCTGCAGAGATCCCAAATCCTCACGGGTTAAGACCCCTTGTTTGTGCAGCTCTTATGTGGGCCCTCACCCAGGGCTCAGCAGCCTCCGCAAGCCTGGTGGGATGGGGCTTCCCTGGCCCCGCTGCCCGCTCGGGTGTATCGGCTACAGACCGGCCCCCTGGGGTGGGATCCAGCCGAGCCTACACCCCCCCACCCCTTCCTTGGGAATGGAAGTGCCTCATCCCTCCTGCAAACCTCAGCAGAGGGCACTGTGCCAGCTCCATCCGGGCAAGGACAACACAACACACCCAAACCCATCATGACACATCACAGCAGAGTAACACAGCGCTCAGCTCAGGGGCGCGTTTATGATCATTAGAACTGGAGTCCTGATCTTTTTATCACCAAGAACTATTGTTTTTCACTCTCGTGGACTTTTCTTCACCCTGAATCTCTTCCTTCGGGGACCTATCCTTCTCCCCCCGTCCTGATGGGGTGATCATTCAGAGTGCCCTAATACCACCACTGCCTCCCACCCACCCCTTGCTACACAGCTGGACACGTGACCCACACTGGACCAATCACAGAACTCCATGTTCTGGACATAGTCATTGGTCCGAGAGTAGGCCCAGGACCAGGCAGAACGGATCAGAATCTGCACCAGCACTGGTGTGAGGACGCTAAGAGACCGGTCTCTCTGTTGGGTCACTAATCGCCAGCAGCCATCTTTCCTGCCTTTCTCACCTGGAGAAAGCCTGCCTGGGTCCAGAGCTAGAATACGAAGGGAAGCCTGACTGTGTGAGCCCCTAGATCCAGCCATGCCTGAAACCGGTCCTCTTAACATGCACCAGTAAATTCCCCTTTTGCTTGGGATTGTTTGCTTTGGGTAGCTATCACCGGAAGTAAAAGCATTCTGACTAATATAACCCCTTAGTGCAGCAGTTCTCAACCTGTGGGTCGAGACCCCTTTGGGGGTCGAATGACCCTTTCACAGGGGTCGCCTAAGACCATCGGAAAACACATAGATAATTACATATTGTTTTTGTGATTAATCACTATGCTTTAACTATGTTCAATTTGTAACAATGAAAATAGATCCTGCATATCAGATATTTATATGACGATTCATAACAGTAGCAAAATTACAGTTATGAAGTAGCAACGAAAATAATTTTATGGTTGGGGGTCACCACAACATGAGGAACTGTATTAAAGGGTCGTGGCACTAGGAAGGTTGAGAACCACTGCCTTAGTGGTTCCAGGGTAAGAATGTTGTGTGTGTGTTTTTCAGGAACAACTTTCCCTTTTTTATATAGTTAAGCTATCAGAAGCAGCCAATCAGAGCTTTAGACCAGCGAGGGCCCAGGGAGCCAAACTGTACTGTTGGGCCTCTGGGATTCGAGCTGCCACTTCTGTGCTTCCCCTGCAGCTGGGCCGATCTGAACCATCTCCTTTCCCTCTGGTCATTGTGACCATACGTGGCTTTGAATGAGGGCCAGCGGGGGTTGAAGGTCTAGGTGCCAACAGGTGCACAGGAAGGACCCCGGTTCGGCCCCCTGCTTGAATCCTCAGAGCGGATGGAAGTAGAAGTCCACCCTGGGCCAGCCCCCTCAGCCCCATCCCTCGCTCCCTCTCCGGGGGTCTTACCATGCCCAGCTCGCCGCTGTCTGCCGCGGAGGTTTTGCGGGCTGGTCTGTTCTGCAGCCCTGTTGAAACTGCTGTGAGAAAACAAAAGCTGAAGTGCCTGCTGCTCGCTATGGGAGCCAGAAGGACAGGGTGGGCTGCAGCCCTCTCCCCAGCAGGGGGCGAAGGGGGGCGCGTTAGGCCTGGCTCAGGTTTGGTTGGAGCCAAGGGAGGCCTTCCCGCCCCAAGCAAAGGGATGCCTCCGGGAAACACAACAGGAGGGCTCAGACCCCGAAGAAGACGGCAGGCTGGTGGGGGCGGGAGGAAGGCTGCAGCTGCCTGGAGTGCCAGCAGAGATGGGGTCAGTGGCCATAAACACCGGAGACATGGGGCCTGGATGACCCTCTGACCGGGGGAGAACTGGCAGGGGCCTTGTGGGCTGTGACAGCTACTGCTCTCTGCATGGGCAGAGCCAGCTTCGTGGCTGCAGAAAGAGCCACTCAGTCTGGCCAGACTCCACTTCAAGAAGGAGGCGCCTTCAAGATCCTCTTATCCGCCCCCCCCCCCACTTCTTTGTGAAGATGAGAGCACCAAAGCCCAAGAGGGACTGTGACCCTCTTAAGGTCACAGGGAGGTCAGTGCAAAGGCTCCTTTGCCTCCCTGGCCCTGCACCGCATGCTGTGACTGACAGGCGCTCCCTCTCTCTGAGAGTCCACTTCCTCCTCCCGTGTAAACCAGGGGCAGTGGTCCTGGTCCTTCACAGGCTGGTTGTGGGGTGAAATGACAGGATCACGATGATGCTGCAGTGTCCCACGCACTTAAGATGTGCCTGGCGCGGCTCTGAGGGTTTTACGTGTATTGACACATTGTAAGCCACCCGCACCCTTTGAGGTGCTGGTATTAATCCCCATTTCACAGATGAGGACACTGAGTCACAAAGAGGTCACACAGGGAGTGATGGAGCCAGAATTCCAACTGACTCAGAACACGCCGTTCTCTCAGGCCCCCCATGTTTTGGAATCTCAGGGTCACATGTCTGTTTCACCCACAGCCAGCAGGACGAGGCCCATGGCTTCCCGTCAGTCTGCAGGGAAGCAAAGTGTGGAGGCAGGAGGGAGGGCCGAGGGACAGTCAGGCTCCTGACCTACTGGGAGGCTGGTTTTGATGACCACGGGCTCCGGGATCCTCCAGAAGCCGTTGTCCTCGTCCCAGCAGGACTCGCGCCGGACCCGGTCCAGGTTGCTGTAGTTACAGTCCCGGCGAATCAGCGGCTGCACCTGCTCCAGCAGCTGCTGGAAGAGCAGGAAGTCGCGTTCCTGCCGGCGGATGGTGGCCAAGTAATCGATCTTCTCGAGCTCAAACTCCGACTGCAAGTCTTTGATCTCCACCTCTGCCGCCCGAAGCTGGAAATGAAGCATTTCAAGTGTACAGTTCATTCAGTGGCTTTTAGTATATTCATAGTTGTGCGGTCATTGTCCCAATCAGTGTTAGAGCGTTTCACCCAAAAGGGACCCCATACTCATGAGTCATTCCCCACTTCTCCCAACCCCCAGCCCTAGGCAACCACCAATCTACTTCCTGTCTGTAAATTTGCTTATTCTGGACATTGCTTATGAATGAAATCATGGAAGCATACACTATGTCATCTTTTGTGTCTGGCTTCTCTCACGTAACATAGTGTTTTCAAGTTCACCATGTTGTATCATGTATCAGTACTTCCTTTTACTGCGGAATAATATCCCGTTGGGAATATGCCACATTCCTTACATTTATGCTTGTTTTCACTTTGGCCTATAATGAATGATGCTGCTCTGAACATTCGTGTACAAGTCTTTGTGTGGACATATTTTCATTTCTCTTGAGTGTAACTGCTGTGTTGTTATGAAATAAACAGAAGAGCTACTACAAGGAACAGAAATGTAGATCAGTGCATTACAGGAGAAAATCCCCCCACAGCACAAGGGCATCGAGCCAGACATTAAACACGTAACACAGCACCCCAATGTGAATAAAAATCCCTTCAACAGGTAGTCACAGACATGAAGACTTCAAGTCAGAAGTCCAAAACTTAACATGGAAATGGACAAAAATGAAGACAGTGTGAGATGGGACATTCACCAAACCCAGGAAGAATTTGTGTGGTTTTTGTTTTAAATTGAGGTATGTAGCCCTGGCTGGGTGGCTTAGTTGGTTGGAGTCTTATCCCATATACCAAAAAGGTCGCGGGCTTAATCCCCAGTTAGGGCACATACAGGAGGCAACCAATCGATGTTTCTCTCTCTCTCTCTCTCTCTCCCTCCTTCCCTCACTCCCTCCCTCTCTCCCTTCCTATCTCAAAAAAATAAATAAATAAATAAAAATCAATAAACATATCCTCAGGTGAGGATAAAACACTTAGCCCTAACCGGTTTGGCTCAGTGGATAGAGCGTCGGCCTGCGGACTGGGGGGTCCTGGGTTCGATTCCGGTCAAGGGCATGTAACTTGGTTGCGGGCACATCCCCAGTGGGGAGTGTGCAGGAGGCAGCTGATCGATGTTTCTCTCTTATCGATGTTTCTAACTCTCTATCCCTCTCCCTTCCTCTCTGTAAAAAATCAATAAAATATATTTTTAAAAAAATACAAAACACTTAGATATGTAAACCAAGTTATGAGATATCCAAGGAAGAATGAATTTGACTGAAAAGCATAACAAGAGGTACTAAGAAAAGGCATGAAAATAGCCAAGAAAATATAAAATGAAAGCGGTTTAAAGAGGAAAAAAGCACCACCTTCCTGCTTTGGCAAGACCCTTGGTTGCCAGTGTTGGTGGGCGAGGAGGGGAGGACCCGCAGGTGGCCCAGGGGACACCAGGAGGCCCGGACCACGCAGAGGACGCACCACCCGAGGAGGAGGAAGTGACTGGCACAGAGGCGGGGTCTCATTCTCTGCCCCAGAGTCACTGCCTCCTTCGTTCCTGGATCCACTCCCTGTTCCCAACACCAACCCCTCTGGGTCCATAACCCGCTGCCTTCAGGTGCTGCCTCCTAGCTTCCAGGCCCCAGCTTAGAAGCCACGCCTCCCTCACAACTTCCTGTCCCCATGAAGGTGGCCCCAGGAGCTCCTGGGGTGAGTGCTCACGTCCACTAATGGGGGCCCGTGTCCTGGTGCACTCGGCCTGTGGCAGTGGATTAAGTTGTGCGTTTGTGACGTGGACATCTGCACTTCAGTGAAAGTGGGAAAATAAAGCCGCCTCCCGCCGAAACCGGTTTGGCTCAGTGGATAGAGCGTCGGCCTGCGGACTGAAAGGTCCCAGGTTCGATTCCGGTCAAGGGCATGTACCTGGGTTGTGGGCACATCTCCAGCAGGAGGTGTGCAGGAGGCAGCTGATCGATGTTTCTCTCATCGATGTTTCTAACTCTCTATCTCTCTCCCTTCCTCTCTGTAAAAAATCAATAAAATATATTTAAAAAAAAAAAAATAAAGCCGCCTCCCGTCCCGGTATCTGCAGTGTCATCACCCCAGACTCTGTTGCTTGTTTCTCTGTTGTTGTTTCTTACACACACACACACACACACACACACTCCCACTGGAAAGTGAGCCTCAGCGCACCTGGCTGGCTCAGTGGTTGAGCATCGACCTAAGAACCAGGTGGTCACGGTTCGATTCCTGGTCAAGGGCACATCCCCGGGTTGTGGGCTCGATCCCCAGTGTGGGGTGTGCAGGAGGCAGCCGACTGATGATTCTCTCTCATCGTTGATGTTTCTCTCTCTCTCTCCCTCTCCCTTCCTCTCTGAAATCAATAAAAATATATTTTTTGGTTGTATCAAACTGTGTATTAAATATAATCATCTGTTATATATAAATATATATTTTTTAAATTAAGCCCCAGGACAGCACACACCCGAGCCTGTGGCTGCTTCCACCGCAGGCACGGCCCAGTGGGCACTAACAGATGCTGTGTGAAGGGTGAATGGATGCCCGCCTAGCGCCAAGGGGCGGGGCGGGGCGGGGCGGGGCGGGGCCGAGGGCCTCCGCGAGGCCTCACCTTCCTCTGCATCTTCTCCAGCAGCTTGCTCTTGGCCCTCACTTCCTCCTGGATGGAGTCGTAGACGTTGAGCAGCACCCAGTCCCCGCTGTCCTCGTCCGATTTCTGCAGGGCGGCCACCAGCTGCTTCCTGCGCTCGTCCGCGTAGCGTTTCCGGCGCTTGTGCTTCTCCTTCAGGTCCTTGTTCTTGGCCTGCTCGCCACCGACCACCTGCTGCTCCAGCAGCTGCAGACTGCCCGCGGGGAGAGGAAAGCACGCGGGATGGTACCCGCGTCACTGAGCGCTCGCCGTCCAGCGCGACCCACGGACCCTCCCAACAACCCCGCTTCCCACAGGCCTCCACTGAGGCCCCGAGAGGCGAGGCCACAGGGTCAGGGCCAGAACCAAGGTTCCTGCCGGACCTACCTAACTCGACCACGGCCGTGGCTGTGCCCAACAGGAAGGGTGAGAATCTCACCCACCCGCCACCCGCCTCCCAGAGCTGAGGGCAGCAGCAGAGCAGGCTCCGCTGTGCTCCCAGGAGCCTGGTGATGGGCACTGCCTGGCCGGGAGCATCCGCACACCCAGCCCCGCGGGCACATGCTGAGTGCAGTCAATCAGTCAGTCAGTCAGAGAAAGACCAATCCGTCTGCTCCACTGACACGTGGACTCTCAGAAGCAGAACCAGCCAGCCAAGCTCCTGGACACAGAGCAGATCAGGGCTGGAGGGCTGGGGTGTGGGGCTGGCCAAATGGTGAAGGCGGTCAAAAGGCACCAGCCTCCATTATAAAACAAGTCCTGGGGATGTCACGTACAGCATAGAGACTAGACTTAAAAACACCGTATTGCATATCTGAAAGTTGTTAAGAAAATATGCCCTAACCGGTTTGGCTCAGTGGATAGAGCGTCGGCCTGCAGACTGAAGAGTCCCAGGTTCGATTCCAGTCAAGGGCATGTACCTTGGTTGCGGGCACATTCCCAGTAGGGGGCGTGCAGGAGGCAGCTGATCGATGTTTCTCTCTCATCGATGTTTCAAACTCTCTATCCCTCTCCCTTCCTCTCTGTAAAAAATCAATAAAATATATTTTTTTTTAAAAAGAAAATAAATTGTACGAGTCCTCATCACAAGTAAGACGTTGTGGTAACTGTAGAATGCCGGGTGTTACCTAGACTCACAGTGGCAATCTTCTCACAATGTACACAGATATGGACTCAGTACGTGGCATGCCTGAAACTTCAATATATGTCCATCACACCTCAATTTTTTAAATGCAAAAGAAATACATCCAGCACACAATGTTTGATTGGGCGGAGACATGTATAATACATTTTTAAAATATTTACATCCCAAATGTTCAAATTTGTTTAGAGTTCTGCCCTTTATTTATTTTTTTTAAATATATTTTATTGATTTCGGAGAGGAAGGGAGAGGGAGAGAGATAGAAACATCAATGATAAGAGAGAATCATTGATCGGCTGCCTCCTGCACGCCCCCTACTGGGGATGGAGCCCACAACCAGGGCATGTGCCCTTGACTGGAATCAAACCCGGGACCCTTCAGTCCACAGGCCGACGCTCTATCCACTGAGCCAGACCAGCCAGGGCTAGCATTCTGCTCTTTAAAGAACAGGCTTAAGCCCTAGCCGGCTTGGCTCAGTGGATAGAGCATCAGCCTGCAGACTGAAGGGTCCCAGGTTCGATTCCGGCCAAGGGCACATGCCTGGGTTGTGGGCTCCATCCCCAGTGGGGGGTGTGCAGGAGGCAGCCAATCAATGATTCTCTCTCATCATTGATGTTTCTATCTCTCTCCTTCTCCCTTCCTCTCTGAAATCAATAAAGAAATATATTTTAAAGAACAAGTTTAAGTGACCACGAGGCAAGGCTCATGTGGACTCCTCGCTGCCCAGTAAAGTGCCACTAAGTGTTTCAGACGTTGCCTTGTTCCACAGGGACACAGGGGCTCCGCCACTGCCTCCCAGAGCTGATGGTCAGCAGCAGAGCAGGCCGCGCCCTCACAGCAGGTCGGGGCGTGCTCCAGGGCCAGAGGGGGGCTGTGCAGCCTCAGTGGGGGGTCGGGAAGAATCTATGGGCACCCCCACACCCAGGTGTAGCTCCTTCCCGCCCCGTGAGGGGTCCCGCCAGCCCCACGCTGCGGCCCTTACCGGGCGAGCACCTGCTGCTGGTCCACCATGGGCATCAGGTCGTCGGTCAGCACTGCCACCTCCACACTGTCCCTTCTCGAACTCGTCATGGCCAGCAGGGGCTGGACCTCGGCCTCGGGCCCCCCGACAGGTTCTGCTGCCAACACCTTGTCTTTGTCCCCTTCCTGGCCCAGGTCAGCCTCCTGAGAAACAGAGAAACCTCAGTTGGGGGGGGGGGGGCAGCCCCCGACAGCAGCTCACGGTGGCCTCCGTCCCACCCGGGGCATCGCGGCCCTCACATGGCGTAGGGACACCAGTTACACAGAAATGCAGCCACCGAGGCCCTCTGCTGCCCTTGCCACAGCGCCCGCTCCCTCCCTCTCCCGCCCGCCTCCAGGCTTCCCGAGGCAGCAGGGCGGGTTCTGTAGGTACAAATTGACCACAGCCCTTTCCTGGTTACAGCCCTTCAGGGGTCCCCGCTGCCTCTGCAGTAAATCCAGTTTCTTCCGTGGCCTGCGCGCCCTCCGTGCCCTCCTGCCTCCCCCCTGCCACCCCGTCCACCCTGCTGTTTCTCCAGCCTCACTTTCTGTTGCTGAGAAAGTCAAGACCTTTCCAGCCCCAGGACTTTGGCCTTTGCTCTCCCCTGGCACCTTGTCCCTCCTTGGGTCCCTCTCAGTGTCACCTTACAGGAGGGCTCCCCTGGGCTCCCCATCTGCCAGCTCCTACCCAGAGCTCAGGTCCAGAGGTTGGCAGGTAGCTTCCTCTCTCCAAAAATGTGAGTAGATTTAAAGCCTTCCTCTCGTGCCCTGGGGCCTGCTGCGCTTTCTTAAGCAGAAAAGGGCGGGTCTGAGAGCAGCAGTGTTCAAAATGCCCCCCTGGCCCTCGGCGGGGTCCCTGACAGCACCCCAGCGCCCGCCCCCATGCACACTGGGCCTCTCTGCCTTAGACAAGGGTTCCAGGCAGAGGAAAGCTGGAAAATCCCTGCTGAACAGCGGCCTCTTATTAACGGTTAATAAGAGGTCTGACAGCGCCTCCAGCTGTGTATGGCTTTGCAATGGGCCGTCTGATGAGCTGGGGTGGTTGTCCCTGTTTATGAATGAAAAAATTGAGGCTGGAGAGGGAGGGGACAAGTGGAGTGTCACAGGAAGGACCGGGCCCCTGGAAGTCCTCCCAATGCACAGCCAGCTGGCCCAGGGTACTCACTGTCTCGGGCAGGAGGCCGCCCTCTGCCTCATCTTCAGCCCCGAAGTCACTGAGCTCAGGGACATCTGTCAGGGAGGGGTGCTTGCAGGAGGGCGAGTCGGGGAGAAGGAGGGATGGTGGGGCCAGAGTCAGCCTCTGCTGCCCCACCCCGGCCTCCCTTGCAGCTCCCCACCCTCACCACCACCTCCTGCCTGTCACTGAGGAGAGAAGGGGCAGGAACAAGAGCGATGAGATGAAGGGAGAGAACAGGGAAGAGAGGAAACAGGAGAGCGGAGACAGGGCGTGCTCTGAGCACCTGCTGTGTTCCAGGAGCGTTACCTGCCCTGCCTCACAGGAAGCACCCATCAGCCCCATTTTACAGATGAAGAAACTGAGGCCCAGGTAGCAACTGCCCAAGGTCACACAACTAAGTGAGTGGCACAGCCAGGACCTGGACCCACTTCTGTCTGACTCAAAGGCCTGTGCTCTACACACACACACACACACACACACACACACACACCCATACACCCACGGAAAGAAGAGGCAAGGAAAGGAAAGAAACAAACAAAAAGGAAAACATTTCACCCTGGCTGGTTTGGCTCAGTGGATAGAGTGTCAGCCTGCGGACTAAAGGGTCCCGGGTTCAATTCTGGTCAAGGGCATATGTCCAGGTTGCCGACTTGATCCCCAGTAGGGGGCGTGCAGGAGGCAGCCGGTCAATGATTCCCTCTCATCACTGATGTTTCTATGTCTCTCTCCCTCTCCCTTCTCTCTGAAGTCAATAAAAATATTTTAAAAACTATTATAGAGAAAGGGCAAACAGCAATATTAAAATATTTCCTCTAATTAATTCCCCTTTAATGTGCACGAATTTTGTGCACCGGGCCACTAGTTTCAACATAAAAAAAAAGAGGGTTGGAAAGTGAGAGGACTGACGAAGCAGCAGGATGGAGGAGAAGCAGCGTGGCCAGATCCACGGGAGGTCCCTGAATGGTAGCTGGAGCCCCGCAGACCCAGCCCAGCCTGCTGCTCTGACCCTGCGAGAGCCGGCTCTCTCAGGCCTGGAAGCTCAGTCTAATCATGCCAACTCGGCAAACTCCCGTGCTGGTGTCCCTTCATCAGCAGAGCAGGTGTCCTCCTGGCATAGCCTTGTATCTTGACCCCAACTTTCCTACCGATTTACAGAGCGTGACACAAAGCTTGTCTTTCCCAGACCCCTGAACGGGAGGCCCTGAGCCGGCCACAGGCCAGAGCCACCACCAAGATGGTGGGGTCGGGGCTAGAGCTGTCCATCCCTGTGCGCCCAGTGACCCCCGCCTCCCGGCTGAGCTCTGTCTGCTGAACTCCCGCCGGGCGTCCTGCATGGCATCAGCTACCTGCATGGGGACCTTGGGTATGTCCGTCTGGGGCGCGTCTGCCAGGGCCATGGTGGACGAAAGCCTGGCCAGCTTGGCTTCCACGTCGGCAAAGGGGTCGTGCAGGCCGGGGAGCAGCTCTAGGGGCACCAGCTGGGGCTCCTCCTCCTGGAGGAAGGGCTCCTCCCCCAGCAGGGCCTCCCGGCTGAGCTCCTCCAGGAAGTCCTTGCTCTTCGCCTCCACCTCGGGCACAGAGGGGAGCTCCAGGGTGGGGGGCTCCTGGAGCCCAGGGAAGGCCTCGGGCGTGGAGGTTCCTTCCAGTGTGGACGACTCATCAGACCCCAAGGAACTGTCGGACTTGGAGGTCCCCGCCCTGGGCAGGTCCTCACACTGGGAAGGGAGCCCAGCCGTGGAGACGCCCTCGCTGGGTGGAGGGTCGCTGATGGAGTGCGTCTCGGGCTTCACCGGCATCTCGTACTGGAAGGCAGGTGTGCACTCAGACACGCTGGCAAACTCGGCCTTGGACATGACTTCGGTGCTGAAGAGGACTTCTGCCTTCAGGATGGTCTCTGCAGATGGAGACCTTCCCTTAGCGCCTTAAAGGTTGGGATGAGGAGGCCTTCCCTGGAAGCTGGTCCAACCCCACCATCTCCAAGAGACCACCTGAAGAGTCAGAGCCCCCAGGCCCCCCCAGATATCGGTTCCCATCTCTGCCCCAGCCCTCTCCCCGGCCAGCAGAACTCAAACCCTGTCTCCTTCCACCTCTTCCAGGAAGCCTTCCCTGACCAGCCCGTGGTTTTTCCATTCTCTGACCTCCTAGGCTGTTAAGTGCTGGGCTCTCACCACCTGCCTTGGGACTGCTTTTAACAAGCAAGCCTTCCAAAGGCAACAAAATCTCAGACATATGCCGAAGCAATTTCTTCACCGATACAGATCCTAGGGCATTGGAAACTGAAGAGAAAATAAACAAATGGGACTACATCAAAATAAAAAGTTTCTGCACAGCAAAAGAAACCATCAACAAAACAACAAGAAAGCCCACTACATGGGAGAACATATTTGCCAACATTATATCTGATAAGGGCCTAATTTCCAACATTTATAGGGAACTCATACAACTTAACAAAAGGAAGATAAACAATCCAATCAAAAAATGGGCAAAGGATCTAAATAGACACCTTTCAAAAGAGGACATTCAGAAAGCCAAGAGACATATGAAAACATGCTCAAAGTCGCTAATCATCCGAGAGATGCAAATCAAAACAACAATGAGGTACCATCTCACACCTGTCAGAATGGCCATCATCAACAAATCAACAAACGACAAGTGCTGGAGAGGATGTGGAGAAAAAGGAACACTTGTGCACTGCTGGTGGGAATGCAGACTGGTGCAGCCACTATGGAAGACAGTATGGAGTTTCCTCCAAAAACTGGAAATGGAACTCCCTTTTGACCCTGTGATCCCACTTCTAGGAATATATCCCAAGAAACCAGAAACACCAATCAGAAAGGATATATGCACCCCTATGTTCATAGCAGCACAATTCACCATAGCTAAGATTTGGAAACAGCCTAAGTGCCCATCAGTAGATGAATGGATTAGAAAACTGTGGTACATCTACACGATGGAATACTATGCTGCTGTAAAAAAGAAGGAATTCTTACCATTTGCAACAGCATGGATGGAACTGGAGAGCATTATGCTAAGTGAAATAAGCCAGTCAATGAAGGAAAAATACCACATGATCTCACTCATTCATGGATAATAGAGACCATTATAAACTTTTGAACAATAATAGATACAGAGGCAGAGTTGCCTCGAACAGATTGTCAAACTGCAGCAGGAAGGCCGGGGAAGGTGGGGGGGCGGGGGGTGGTAAGAGATCAACCGAAGGACTTGTATGCATGCATATAAGCATAACCAATGGACATAAGACACTGGGGGGTAGGGGAGGCCAGGGGATTGTCAAGGGCGGGGGAAAAAAAGGAGAAATATGTAATACTCTTTGTAATAATTTAAGCAATAAAAAAATATATTATAAAAAAAAATAAAATAAAATAAAAATAAAATATAGACCTATGTTAAAAAACAAACAAACAAGCAAGCCTGTGGGTTTTACTGCCTCCCCAGGTGAGAGCTGATGAACAGCAGATTTCACCCCCAAATCCCCAAGGGGTCCCCGCTGAAGTGCCCAGCTCAAGGCTCTTGTCCACAGGATGGATATGCTAGACCCATGGGAGTTAAATGAACACCGTGGATGAGTGTTAGACCGAATAAAGTCACTCAGAGAAGAGCATTCAAACTGGACAGGAGGGAGCTCTCTGAGGGGCAGAAGATGCTGGAACCTGCCTCCCGCTTCCTCCGGGTGTGCACGGAGAGTGGCATCCTCCTTCCAGCCTGGACAGACTCTGATCACACAGGCCTCCTTGGCGCTCCCAGCTATGGGCATTAGACCACTTCCCCTACATCCCATCTGCTTCTTGGCTGCTTATGTCTGGCTCCCCTGAGACATTCCGGACGCTCCCTAGCTCAGGGGCCTGAACCTGTCCAAACCTCAGTTTGCACACTTGCAACGTGAGGACTCAGTGAGTCCCTCCTCCCTGAGCACCTGCCCAGGGCCTGGCACACAGCGATGCCCAATAAACAGTACTGGTGATGTGTCCAATATCCTCATCATTACAAGATGGATTTCACAATGTTTGGGTGAGTACTAGGAAGCCTGGGCTGCTTGGCACCACGGGTGTTTGGATGATAGTCATGAAGTGGAACATTCTAGAATGTCAAAAAGAAGACAAAAATGCCCACCTGGGTGTGGCTCAGCGGTTGAGCACTGACCCAGGAATCAAAAGGTCACCGGTTCAATTCCTGGTCAGGGCACATGCCTGCATTACAGGCTTGATCCCCAGTGTGGGGTGTCCAAGAGGCAGCGGATCAATGATTTTCTCTCATCATTGATGTTTCTCTCTCTCTCTTCCTCTCTGAAATCAATAATAATATATATAATATATACATATACATATATATCCTATATAATAAAAGGCTAATATGCAAATAGACCAAACAGCAGAACAACCGGTTGCTATGACACGCAGTGACCACCAGGGGGCAGACACTCAACGCAGGAGTTGCCCCCTGGTGGTCAGTGCGCTCCCACAGGGGAAGCGCCACTCAGCCAGAAGCCAGGCTCATGGCTGGCAAGCACTGTGGTGGTGGCAGGAGCCTCTACCTCCTCCACAGCAGTGCTAAGGCTGCCCGACTGCCAGCTTAGGCAGTCAGAAATGCCCCCAAGGGCTCCTGGACTGTGAGAGGGCATAGGCCAGGCTGAAGGACCCCACCCCAGTGCACGAATTTCCAACACCAGGCCTCTAGTGTGTGTGTATCCTATATAATAAAGATGTAATATGTAAATTGTCATTACACCATGAAGCATAACAACTGACAGTGTAACGACTGGATCATGGATCAGCAGGAGGTTGGGGCAGCGAGCTACAAGCGGGCGGAGAGCTACAGGAGGGAGCAAGGCAGCAAGCCATGGGGGGGCAGGGGGAGCTACAGGAGGGTGGGGCAGTGGGCGGAGAGCTACTGGAGCAGCAGCGAGCTACTGGCGAGCGACTGGCACACAGATTTGTGCACGGGGATG